TTCCATCACATAGTCCCAAATTCTTGTTTTCTTTTCAGCTTTCCTTTCCGGATCCCAGAGTCTCTGGTGCTTCCATCTCTCAGCTTTGTGTTTTCATCACAAATACAGAGAATTGACATTTACCAGGCTGGAAGGATTCCCTTACAAACCACGCGGGTCAGTCTCTCTTCCAGGACTGCATCTCTGGTGGTTCCATCTCTCAGCTTTGCTTGTTTTCATCACAAATACAGAGAATTGACATTTACCAGGCTGGAAGGATTCCCTTACAAACCACGCGGGTCAGTCTCTCTTCCAGGACTGCACAGAAACTTACTTAGGACACACATTCCCTTCGTTTCAGCTACCAGTTCCATAAACTGCTCAGCTGTTGTGACCTTGACCGTAAATGAAAATACCTAGCAGCACGCTGCTTCCCTTCTACAAGCTACCTTCTGCAAACTGCCTTCCAACACAGTTTAACTCCGTCGCCAGTAGCATCCCAGCACGGCAGAAAACGATGGACTGAATCGAAAGGGTTTGCATTTGACCTCCAGAAGACCTATATTTGTTCATAGGATATCAAAACTGACATTGGAAAGATTTTGCATGTCTAATCGTAATGCAAAACACAAAAATAATAAAAGAAAGTTTAGTGTTTTGGTTTTTTTTTCTTTTTTTTCTCCTGGGACTACTGGGAGTCAAGACAATTTCCACCATAAATGGGATTGCTGGCACCGTTCCAAGAAAGCAGAAAGCTGGCAAGGAAGCAGAGTCAAGTATGTGTCCTGTCTCCATCACAGCAAGCCTTATTGCATTATATTTCACTCAAATGCAATTTCATAATAATAATAAATTACACTGGCCTTTGACTCGATGTTATAGGACTAAGTAGTGCAACGTACTGTTCAGTCTTTTGAAACAGCATTCACAAAGACAGACTTGAAATGCATTTATCTTCCGTGAGCAATCTAGATACATAGGCGCATTTAATTTTCGAAAAATCCAGCAAAATTTGAGTCACTTTTAGGCGATAGCTGTACTAAGAAATAAGTTAGGTCTGTTACCCGACTTTTCAGCCGGCTGACCTATATGGTTAAACTTTCTTATCCTACAGAGAGGGTGGCTGCATCCAAGCGGGTTAGTCCTTGAGCCATGCCTGGGTGCTATCTAGGAGAGGGGCGGGCGGCCGGGGCCGAAAGCGGGCTGGGGATCGGGCTGGCTGTGCTAGCGGGTCGACAGAGGTGGGGATCAGACGGCAGCCTTGGGCTCTGTGCCCTGCTTCTGCCACCTGCGGAAACCAGCAGCGGCAAACCCTGCACCTCTTGTTTTAGTCCCACTTGGAGTAAAATACACTCCTTTCCAAGAGTAACCGAAACGAAATGATTTCAGAATTTTAATGCTTCGGTTAAATCACTTACATTTACCTATTTGTACGTTGATAAATAAAGTTATTTATTCTGACACAAATATGCATTTTTATTGTTTATGAAATTTTAATGTTCAATTTGCTGCATCTTTGAGCAACACAAACCAACAAAATAGGGGCTTACTTTTGTCAAAGGAAAAAACTTGCAAAGCTGCCTGATAAAGCTCAGAGGAGAAACATGCACACATGTGAGAGGTCCGTTGAAGGTTAAGTGAAGGCTTTTCTAATTTTCATTTTAGCCTATTCAGGATAGGGACAGAAAACTAGGGTTATTCTTATGAAACCCACCTACATATGTTTTGCAGTCAATGCATGTTTTTATACCGCCAATACTATCAATACTCAGTGCTTATCACAGGTTCACTGGAGCTCTGTCAGACCCCAGTTGTGAGCTACCCTGTCGCCCAAGCAGAGGGCTAAGAGAGTATAAGCCTCATTTTATTTCTGTGCATTAGCTCCCTCCACCCTGGTAAACAAGCTAAAAAGCCAGCTAATGCAGCTGACATCTTGAATTATGTAATTTCTCATAACAGATGCCAGAAATGCTATTCCGCCCTG